AAGATATTAAAGTTCAGCAAAAACTTAAAAATAAGATTTTCGAAAATTAAATTGTTTGGTTTTCAATATGTTTCTGTTTTTATTAAGTCTGAACCTTAGACATTTTTGATTAATTTAAGTATTGTATGTTTCTTTTCTATAATAATATGGAACCTTAGAGTAAGTATATTTTAAAGAAAGAGAATGCGCTTTTACTTAGATATAAAGTAGTCTCCAAAATAGAAGAGCACCCTAATCTAGTATACCTTATGCGTACTTAAAATATTTCTAAATAAAAATATAATAACAATATTTTTAATAAAATTGGTATCTTATTTTGTAAAAGGTCTCCGTTTGGAAAAATTTGTCGAAAATATTTTATTTTTAAATACTTCACTTCTAAATTAAATTTTCTAGTTTTGGCGATACTTTATTTTTTAAGCGTATCATAGCTTCAGAATTGATGAGTATCGGTTTTAATATAATTTATTTCGAAAAATATTGAAAAAAATTTCAAACAATGTTGTTTCAGATTCAATCTCTTTAGAACAAAAAAATGTTCAGCCAAATTTTTATATTTGTAAATAGGGTAACTACTTAAAATAGAATTGTACTAGAAATCCTTTAACTTTTACACTATATTTTAACAGCTTTATTATAAGTAACAAACTGTTTTAATATGAGTCGCTATGCGACAATCTCAAATATCCAAATAGCTAAATTCATTGCCACTTCGCCAAAATACAAGCGCTAATCTAATCTCAGCGCCAAATTTCTAATTAGAACGCGCTCAAATGCCGAGAGGCAGAGGCATGTGTATGTACGTCGCAATTTTGCTGTCGCTGCATAAATTAGCACGTCAGCGCTGCAGGGGTACTTCAATCTGACTTTAAGGCGTTGAAAATAATCGCGCATAAATTTACACAATATTCCGAGGCTTAGCCTGCTCGGGCTTGTTGAGTCTCCAGCGTCGGCACGGTGGCTTAGCTGCCAGCTGTTGTTGGCGGGTGTTGTGACTGATACGAGTGAATTTATGTGCGGCCATTCAGTTGTGCCCGGCAGCCCGCATGTGACATGCTCAGCTGTTGTGGGTTTAATTTTGCATTTTCACCAAGCACTTTGCGGTTGGCTAATTTATTTCTGCTGACTTTGCTTAGACGACGACCACTTGTTTAGGAACACATACATATAAGAATGTTGGTATTTGGAAAAGGCGACTTATGCGAATGTGGGAAATTAATGTCTAAATATGAGGTCATAGCCGGTTTCCGCATCCCACTAATCTTGATTAAATTGGAAAACTCGTCGGACCAGTTCACAATAGTCAGTAGAAAGTCCTACATTTTTCGTTTTAGTTTAGTTCAGTTTTACTTATTTATATCTCGGAAGCTGTTCGGATATCCTCTTCGTTTGATGATTCGATTCACTGTATCCTCTGGCCCATTGTTGTACTTTCAGCAGATCGAAGTTTCTCCTTAATCACATAAATACCTTTAGTCGTCTCAAGACATGTCGGTCACTTGTTCTCTTTTTCGTTTCTTCCATTTTCAACATCAAAATCCTCTTGATTGTTACATCTTTCGTCACGATTTTTCGCACTAATCCGCTGAAACCTTTAAGACTACTTCTTCTGTTAGCTCGATTTCAACCGTCGTAGACAGCATTATTATTTTTGCTGATATGGAAAACTCGTCGGTCTTTCTAGAAATTCTTACTTATTGAATGGCCAACGCGTTAGTGGTTCATAAATATTTACCATTCTGTAAATAGTGTATTTATGGGCTCTAAAATATGGTAATATCAGTATATGGTATTTACCTAGAAAATGACGCATTTGGGTGCAAGATTATCATAATTTGTGGTGGAGATCTGGCATGCAGCGACGTATTCTTCTTTTTATTTGAAGGGCTTAAACTCAAGTATATATCAAGGTTATCGATACCAACCTGCGTTCCATTAGAGTTTGTGTTTACTTAGTCTTTCTACGATTTTGATGAAGTTTCAGATCTTTTAGAAATTAGTGTAATATGTAGTAATAATGGAGAATTTAATAATGGACATTTAGGACCTACTTATATATCTATAAATCTGCATATATGATTTTATTAAATCCTTCGAATCGTCGCTGTTGCAGTTGTTTAGATAGCGTGATGACGAAATCACTTTAATTTGAACGGGTTTATATACATACGTATGTTATTATACTGAATAACCTTGATTTTCATCTGAACTTCTTCCTGATATAATAGAATGCAGATTTAAATGAGATTGTGAATGTAAAATTGTATTGAATTTTCACAAAGCCTTGATGTTTTCTGGCATAAACATTTCTTTCGTTGTAAAAGTAATTCAAAAACTTTGAAAGTATACATACGTACAAACCTAGTTGTTGAACAAACCTGCATTGCATGTCGGAAGTGTTTCTCCTTCTAGTGTTACAATGTACAACATTTGCAAGTCAAAGAGAAGGCTTCAAACGCTTTCCACCTTTTATTTATATTATTTTTCTGTCTGAATTTTAGACGAATAGCCCAAAAAGTGATATGTTCTTTCCAAAATAATATTAAAGAAAAGATAGGTCTAGAGATGGAAACCCATAGTTCAAGTCAAGATCAATATTAAGCGTAAATCAGGCAATTGTATTTCAAAATAGTTGAAATATCAAAATTCCTACAAATTGACTTTGCAAATCCCGTCGCCCACAAAAGTTTTCCCAAACAAACTTCGTTAGTTCTCCTTATGCCACTTAAACAGAATTAGTAAATTATTGTTGTGTTTAATTTTCTCTTCGCCACAGTGGTGTCCGCTGTGGGAAAATACTAAATTGTTACATTTTACTGCGAAAATGTTACGCGCTTTTATACGCTCGCCTCTATTTGCTCTAGCGTCTAACCTTTCTTGCTTTGTATATTTGCACCTTTGGCCAAAACATAATAAAAATATTCAAACACAGAATTACATACATACAACATAATTTATATGTGTTACCGCTGAGATTTATTACTCACAACCTCTATTAAGAGTGCTGGAAGTTGTGGAAGTACAATAATTCCGTTTTGCTGCTGAAGTTGTGGCATAAAGTATGAGGTGTTTTATATCCGCAGTAGTAAAGGAAAGAATACGAAACGGCAATTGCTCAGTGAAGTATACTTAGGCAGAGTGAAAATAAATAAAATAACTCGAGTTAATTCTGATTTATTACTTTCCTTAAACTCTATAATTAACACTAAGTTACGAAATAACTTCTTTAACTCTCCAATATACATTAGACGGTCTTTCAGGAAATTTTATTGATTAAATAGATCTTATAGTTAATTCACCTTTGGTTAACTCAAGTTTAAAGTTTTTCTCCAATATTTTATTAGAATATTTGAGAAACTCTAAGTTTTTAAGTTAGACCAAATTTAATCTAAAAGGCCTGTATGTACAGTTAATTCAGTGCTTCTGAGTAGTGTGTACTTAAGGTCAATAAACTTCTTGTTCTCAGTATTTACAATCCAATCATTATTTTATGATCAAACAAAGCTTAAAATCTTGAGCTAGGTTAGAAAATGCATCGACCACATATAATCCAAAATTATGTATTAGTAATATCTTCCTTCCCAATAGCTGGTAAGGGATTTCAGAAATGAGGGTCTTTACAATATCTGATAATATTGGTTAAAGGAAACCTATCATCCATTCTTAACAAAGCAATGACTTCTCCGATTTATTCTATTCAACCAAAACCATGTATCAAGTTTCAGACAGGTCTCGTCACAAAAAAGCGTAAAGCACAAATATGTGATTGACTCAAAGCGCTATGTCGTTTATGAGGGTATTTACGATCAGTTTTATAGTAGTTCTAGGTACCAAAAATCAGTTACAAGCGTCCGGAGATCTCTCTTCTCGTGAGTTTGAACACAATGTCAATTTGGTGTTTGGCAGCTGTTTGTTTACGACGTGAAACGATTTTCTAGAGATCCATGAAAAATAAAATTGAACACACGTTTGCTTAAAATTTTTTTAAATGGAATCACGGCTACTGAGTTGTTCCAAATGTTATAGAAGTGTTTTGTGAGTATTCTTTATAACGAGCGCAATTATTTAAGTAAGCACTCAGTGAAGGTCGTGTAGTCATCGACAACTTGCCTCATGCGATTCGTCCAACCACCTCTGTTAATGACGATAACATCGAAAAAGTTAAAGACGCAGTGCTTGACAATAGTCGTCTCGGCATCAGAAAGATAGCAGCGGATCTCAACATTTCTTATGGATCGACTTAACACATGAGTTATGTTGATGGAGCCCAAGTGAATGTTAGACTTATACTAAAATGAACTTGGAAATCGACATCGGTACAGGTCGCAAAGAAGATACTTGTCAACGGAGCTAAGAACTAATTCACCAAATGCAAATTACGATAACGATATGTGAGTTTATGAAGATGATGTTGAAACTGTTCACCAATTGACAGAATGGCGCTCCAAAAATGAAATCCAAAAAACTAAAATTCGCTGAAGGCACTGAAGGTCAGCGCAGTCGAGGCTTTTAAAAAGTAGAAGGAAAATTGAGTTAACGGTTGGCATGTCTATGTTGGCTCAAACAGAGCCTACTTTAAAGCCGGCAATAAATATTTGGTCCGGGTCATATACGATCAGATGGTATACCTTATATTGTTACGATCTCAAACGTTATTTAGTTAAGATTTGGCACCAGAAGAGCTTGAGGTAGACTTATAATTACGAAACGTTCGAGCAAAGCTTTGGAGTGTCTTCGTGTATTGTATCTCGAGTTAGCGTTATAATACCTAATGTACTGTACAGAACATTGCTTATGCTTGAGAATAGCAATTAGCTACTAACACACTAAACTCAACTACAGTTCACTGGAAGATTAAGCGAGAGAAAATTTTTGTTGAGATTTTGTAAGAACCCATAACTTTCATGTACGAGTAAAGCTACTTATATTTTACACTATTTTCTACATTCTCCCGACTTCCGCTATATAAATGGACGCGGAACTTGATGCCAGTGAATAGTTTTTTAAAAAAGTAAATTAGCACGAAGAATGTCGTGTTCACTAGTTCGCTTGAATACCGTTATTCTTTTATTGGTGCTTTTCAATACCGGTGTGGAGGCAGGACTAATAAATATATTTGCTGGGGTTGTTAATATGGTAGCTAAAGTGTTGACTAATTTTGCCCCATCATCGGAAACCGTTTCGTACGCCACGAATATGGTAATCGGCTATCCATTAACGGCTGTCGCCAGTGTTGTGGATAAAATCTGTAAGTGTTTCGCTTAGAAAATTATACCGAGCATAACAACCGTTCACTTATTATCGCAGGTACCATAGGGCTTGGAATTAAAGGGCATATGCTGTGGGGCGAAGTGGACTTGACGCATATCAAATTTCAACTGCGCACAGCCTGTTCAAAGTACACTTACTCTTTAAGGGATGCGAGGAAACTTCTGAATAATTCCGATTTCCATCCGAGTAGAAAGGTGGTCATTGTGGTCAGCGGTTGGACGCAAACAGTGAATAATTCGGATACTATCGATAAAATGGCCAAAGTGTTTAACTGTCGTGGTGATGTTAATTTTCTGGCGCTTGATATGGACCAATATTTGGCCACCTTTTACATTTGGGCTGTACAGAATACAGACAGTATTGCTTTAGGTTTAGCACAGGGCCTTACAATGTTGAAAGAAGTGATACCAATTGAGAATGTACAACTAATCGGTCATAGTCTGGGTGCGCATATTGTTGGCCGCGCCGGTCGATATTTCACAGAGAAGACGGGCGAAAAGTTGCCATACATCACCGGTTTGGATCCGGCGAAGACATGTCTTGCCGCAGAACAAAGAATTGGTAGAGGCGATGCACATAAGGTCGAAATAATTCATTCAAATCCCGGTGTGTTGGGCATCGCCGAGCCATTAGGTCACATTGATTTATATGCATCATTCCTTCGTCCATTCGCCAATGGCTGTATGGGTGTCATTTGTTCGCATATGCGTGCCGTGGACTATTACGTGGAGTTTCTATATCCGGGCAATGAAAGAGGTTTTATTGCCAAGAGATGCGCTTCGTGGCAGCATTTGCGTGCGGAGCAATGCACTGGTCAAAATTATGCAATAGGCTCTAAAGATTACCACATTCGTGGTGGTAGTATATTCGCAATGGATTTGAATCCAAGGCCGCCATATGGTAGGGGCAGTATATCGCAATGCGGTGCTCGGTGTTGCAATTGTGGCTTATGTCAGAGGTAGAGTCACAAAAAACAAATAGTACTCAAATTCTAAATATATATATAAATTAAAATTCTAAATATATAAATTAAAATTCTAAATAGCATATAAAGTATATTTATTATATCTTGCACAAAAGAATATAAATTTCACATTTGTAGTAATGAAAGTGAACTGAATCCAGTTAATTTATTCTAAAAAACAATTGCATATTAGCTATTAGTATGTTAATAAAGTTAACTATAAAACCTTTGTATTAGAACATCTGAAAGAATTACAAAAATGTCCAACGGTTTTCATTTCTGAATAATTAAAAGTTCGCAATGCATTATAATTACTTATTATCTAATAGCGCGAAGCTTTAGAATTGGGCCCGCTAAGGGACAGTGCATATACGAGTACATAACAGTGAGAGGAAAGTACCAAATCACAATAGAAATAATAATTTCTAGAAAAAATAATAATAATAATTAAAAAGAACAAAAAAACCTTAACTTCGATAGTAGCGACCTACCCTTCCGATACCCTTCACATGTGGATTTTTTACAGCTTAAATGGGTATAGTAAATGGGCGGTAAGTTTGAATGACAGATATATGCTGTAGTGTTCCAACAAATGAGCAGCTTAGAGAGAAAATGAAGTGAGCAAAATTTTCGAGTGATATCTCAAAAACTGAGATATTACTTCGCGTATATACAGACAGACGAACATGACTAAATCGACCCAGCTCGGCACAAAACTTGTGCTGCAAACTCCATGGACAACATAACATACTTTGTTTAAGTAAAAAATAAAACAAGTAAGATAGGGTTAAGTTCGAATGCAACCGAGCATTTCATACTCCTACAACTTGCTAATTTCTTAATTATTTTAATACCTAATTTCTTAATTACTTAATTACCTCACAGATTGACTAATATATGTGATATAAGGGAGGACAAGGGGAGGTATTAGCCTGATTTCATTCATTTTAGGCAAGACTATAGACTGTTATTAGAAAGAGATTCTTTATTATTAACCGTTAGATATACTTGTAGTTTAAAGTCAATCGGAAGTCGAATATATTTATAATAGGTATATGCGTGCTAAGGGAAGTTTTGACCCGATTTTACCTATTTTAGGTACAGGGGCATGCACGTGTCATCACAAAAATATTCTCTCCTAATTTTAATACTAGACCTCACAGACTGACCGATATGTTCAGTAAAAAATCAGCCATATGCACTGTGGTTCACATATTTGGTGTTTGGGTACTTGAAAATTATGGTCCGATTGCGCCAATTAAAGACGTTCTCAAGAATTGGGACTGTCTCAAACCATTGATTTGATGTGGAGAGCGACAATCGCTTAGTTTTAAGCATCTGCGAGGTAATATCTACCCTTATTTCAGAGCTACCTTAACTAGTCAATTGTGATTTAAAAAACTGTTGCTTTCATTAATAAAAAGTGTCTTGCTGTATGTTCGTGCATACTTTTAGGCCTCTCGTATGCTGTAATTTTTTCTAAAATATAGTGTATATATTGGAGAAGAATAGCCCTTAATTTCTGAATATTGCACTATTTCCTTATTTGTATTAAATTGGTTATAAGCTTCAGTTTAATCAACTATATTATTGACTAAATGAAATTGAGCTCCTCGCCATCAAAGAGTTTAGACGCTCCCGCAGGCCAAGTAAGTCACCGTTTGTATACCAATTTATTATGTGAATCTGAGTAAGTTACTAAAAACTAACTAAGAAGTGTTTTCGTCACTGTGTTATGAGAGAGTTTGAAACTAGACTAGTGTAGACTAGAAAATAGAAGCACGTGACCCTTTGCCGTGTACAACTTTTGCGCTCTACTCTTAACCTCCCTTCTTAGAAACTTTTTTTGTTTTTACTTGTAGCAACACTTTTTACAATAAAAATATTTTGTTGTTGTTGCTTAACTTTATTATATGCCACGTGGGGTAATGAGGGAAGCAAAATTCTTAACTTTAGTAATGTACATATTTTACGCGCGTTTTTATCGTACTCTCGTCTAGCGGTTAACTGCTGGTTTCGCGCATTTTCACCTTGACCCAACATAAGGCCGACAATACAAAGCATAAAACTACATATTAATCTACGAAGTAATGTGAATGTCACGGAGGAGAATCGACTATCGTTGTAACCGCTTATTAATAGAATGTCGAAAGCTTGGAGTAATTGAAAGGTGATTGAGAAGTTTAAGAGGAACTTAAATTCTTAAATCCTTTTTTGCGGGTATGAAGGTAGAGTCATTATGATTTCAGCTAGAATAATTTGTAAGTAAAATTAGAAAATTTTTAGAACTTCACAAACTACGGCTATCTTCGAGTTAGTAAGAAAAAGTGAAGTATTTGCGTTTTTTTTCCTTACAGTAATCAACTAGAGGAGCAAATGACTGTATTTCACAGACTTAATTTCCGTTCAGTTTTTTGGAACTCATAGCTTGAACTGTCGCATTTTAATCGCTTATAGCCTCACTAAGCCTTCTGGAAAGTAGATACATGCTTTGTTTAGTTAGGGGTAGTTCTTCACAGATTTTTCACTAAGAATCCACACAAATCAATTATTCTATGGTAAGGCGCTAGATATACGGGATAGTAAAGTCAAATGGCCCATGGTAGTTCATTAGCATCTATACTCTCTTTTATTTGCAAACGTTTTTCCTGCCAGATAACGACGAAACGATTTAGTCTGAAATTTAGGCGCCTTCGTTCATTTCATAGCCTTAGAAGTGACATTCCATTGTCTTAAAAGTGAAGAAACACAAAGAAATCTTAACACAGAAAATTTGCCACTATTTTAAGTTGCTATTTTAAGTGCATCCGAAATATTTTAAAAAACTTTAAGTTCGTCGCATACCAAATCCATAGCGAGAAATTGCAACACTTTGTGCAACGAAGATGTCATTGGCAGCCACTAGAAAGATAAACAAAGTAAACCAGGAGGAAAGGAAACAAATGAAGCTACTAGAAAACGTGCCAAGCGCTAAAGCAGCTTAAATTTAATACTCATTTTGAATGCCGTGTAGATGTACTAATACATGCACGCGCCACCGGACGACACTGGCTGGAGCGTCTAGTTGTTTCCGCCTGTTGATAGGGGATTTAGCTTAGTCGAATTGTATGTGTTTGTTGTACAAGAAAATACTGTTTCTACAGGATCTAGTATTGGCTTACTTGCATCCGGATAGTGTTTAGGTATGCATATACAACTACGTGTGCACTTTGCTATTGATACGTGGGTATAAAGTTTGCCGAAGTGTCAACAAGGAAGTGATAAAATTGTTCCGAATCCATGGAGTATATGAAGCGCTGTGCCGTGACCCTTTGCTTTATACGATGAAGAGAAAGCAATGTTGTACAAATTTAATTTTTGCGTTGAAGACGTGGTGGGTTGGACATGAACTTTTACTTATATTTTTTTGAGAAAAAAGTATAGTCGATTTTGTTTCAATATGAACTTTAGATATAAGTTCTGGGAACGGTTCAGTATTTTTTTTTTATATTTCTTAAAACCTATTTATTTTGAGACGTCAAACAGTCTTCGATTTCAGCAGTAATCCTCCCGATTGAAGATCTAAATACTTCGAAGTATGACGAGCTGAGTTGAGTTCGCCATGTTCGTCTGTCTGTCTGTATATACGGGACTTAGTCCCTAAGTTTTTGAGTTCTGAAATTTTGCACACGTCCTACTATAGCATATATCTGCCATACAAACTGAACGATCGAAATAAAGTCTTGCATGGAAAGTCTTTTATTTGACGAGATATCTTTACGAAATTTGGCATGGTTTATTGTCTAAGGTAATAATGCAATATTCGATGAACTTGCTCAGATCGGACTATTATATATAGCTGTCTTATAAACTGACCGATCAAAATCAAGTTCTTGTATGGATTTTTTTTATTTATAAAGCGTAGTCTAAGTCCGATCGATATCTCTTACATTAAAATAAAGAATCACGGGTAGAAGAATGATCTTATCTGGTATTTAGATCTTAAGATGCCTTATGGTGCTGTCAGTTCACAGTTTTCTTCCTTATTCCAACAGATAAACACCCAATTCGTTGATTACTTTGAGCAGCTGATAATATTATATATTATCTTTAAACCGGCATTAGGGAAGGGTTAAATCTATAAAAAGCTGGCTTTGACACCAAAAAAATTGTAAACTGCGATCTCAATAAATATCTGGTGATTCATGGCACAAATCAGTTCATTTTCTTTTATAGACTTTTTAGCTAGCGGTGACTTAAATTTTTAGCGCGTCTCTTTTTCTGTTCTTACAATGACTTTCACCAACTGTAATGCCTATAAATAAATACACATAAATACAAGCAATCAAACTCAAAATCGAGCTTGCATTATACCAACACACCTCCAATATGGGCACATGACTTAACTTCTTTACTTTCCGTAAAATAAATTTCCTGTCACGCTAAAATTGCGTCACAAATATAAATGTGATTTAAATTATTGCATGTCATAAAACAGATGTGTGAAGTGAGTTGTGCGCGCCCAAAAGCATGCAACACTTAATTGTATAATACGAAGCTCCCCTCCCTTGAGCCAACCGAGGCAAGCAGCCATGTAGGACAAAATAAATAAATGTTAGCAAATATATGTACAATATGTATTTGTTATATATCTTTTCTGTTGGTACATATGTGTGCTTGTAAATATGCCACAACTAATTAAATTTTGTAAAGATCGCGTGCGGCAACCACAGCAATTTACCAAGTTAGCTGGTCGTCCTTGTGCCGCACATCCACATTTGGCTCGCTCGTGCTTGACTTATCGCCTTTTGCTTGGAATACCTACACAAATATTAGTATGTAGTCGAGTGTTAGCGTGTGTGCTTGTAATTGTGTTGGGCCACATAATTTTCAGACGCTTTTTATGCTCGAAACGTGATGGCATTTAGTACGAAAATAGCACAGGCAAATTAATTTAATGACCTCAGCTGTAAAAAGGTCTTCATTTTCGCTACGTAGTCATATTGTGGCACGTGATTACTTATGGTGTTAAGGCGCCGCT